AATTTCTCCCCCCCCCCCCCAATAATTTCTTATTTTAAATTTTAAGGGGATACAGAAAGAAAAAAGGGAATAGGGAAAAACTCATAGGAAATATAGTTACCAAAAACACAATGTAAGGGCAATTTTATAGATATTGAGGATATTCCTTGATCAGAGTACATCTCTCCTTATATATAATTGTATTTTGGTGGTGGCACTTTGTGAACAGTCCACATGCTCCCAAATCAGTTGGCTCCGTGATATGTCACTCAGAAGCTGTCCCTATCCACTGGCTGCATTGCCTGAGTCTCGCCTCCAATTTTTGCTTTTTCTCTCCTCTCAATAGCCAGTCGAACACATGTCATTTGCATATGCGGCCTGATTGGCCTTTGCCTCTAACATTCTAAACAGTTTGCTGTTACTGTTGGGAGTCATTGAATGTGTCCTGAGGTAAAATACATATCCCAATCTTCCCTTAAATGGTCATTGGCGTTGCCAATCTCCCTGTGGGGCCTGGAGATCTCCCAGAAATCACCGTGTTTCCCAGCCACAGCACATCATTTCCCCTACAGAAAATTTCCCAGCTGTCACAGTGGCTGCTTTGGGCAGTGGACTCTATGGCATTATACCCTGCTGAAGTCCCTCCACAACCCAAACCCTGCCCTCTCCAAGTTCTACCCCTCAAATCTACAGGTATTTCCCAACCCAGAGTTGGCAACAGTGTAACTGGCTATGGAACCGCTTTCCAGATCCTTGGAACCCAGATTGGAGGAGGTTCTTTTCTACCATAGCTGCCATTGCATAACCCCAAATCAACATAAGTCAGGGATGGAGGGAACTATACCTGTTACCATGAGTAGCAAAATGACTTGAGACAGCCCCGCCTTATAGCTAACCAGAAGGAAATAAACATGGCTTGCCTCCCTCTATTTTCCCCTTCCCTCTGCCGCCCCACCAGCCACAGCCGGGACACTCACCTGGAGCTTCCTTCTAGAGCTCGTTTTATTTCTTCCCACAACGGGCCTTAGTCCTAGTGTGTATATTAAAAAAGTATATGGCATAATAGCTTAAAAATAAATAGCAAATATGTATGGCATAATGGTGTAAGAATATAGCTTAAAATATTCCCCATCCCAACGCCGAGCCTTTTCTTTGGCCCATATAAACGCTTTTCCATCGATAGCCCTTTTTGGTAGATTTAAGCAAATGCCTTCTCACAATAGGTTTTGTCCATGTGAATTAGGTACTCTTGATTCGTTATCCCATATCGGCTATACTCTTGAAAAAAACATCACTGGACCCTATGGGCCTGGCCAACTACTGCCCAGTGTCGAACTTACCATTCCTGGGTAAGGTAGTTGAGAGAGCATTAGCCAAACTACTCCAAGCTTCCCTGGATGACACTTTCATCCTTGATCCTTTCCAGTCCGACTTCTGCCCTGGCCACTGGACAGAGACAGCTCTGGTCACCTTTACAGATGACCTCCATAAGCATCTGGATTGGAGCACGTCAACAAGCAGCGTTCGACACAGTTGACTATGATCTGTTGACCTTCCACCTTACCAACATAGGAGTTAGGGGTACTACCTTGCAATGGTTTTCCTCCTTTCTCCATGGTCAGGGACAGAGGGTGGCGCTTGGTGAGAGGGTCTCCTCGCGATACCTAGTGGAATGTAGTGTGCCACAGGGGTCAGTCCTCTCACCAATCTTATTTAACATCCCATTTAGTCTGGAGGTATGGATTGGGTTGCCATCAATATGCAGATGACACCCAGCTCTATCTGGTGCTGGACGGCTACCCATCCTCCACCCCTGGTAATCTGGCCAAGGCTTTGGAGGCTGTGGCTGGATGGTTACAGCAGAGCTGGCTGAAATTTCGAAAATGGAGGTCCTGTACCCGGGGTGGGGGTGGGGGTGGATGTGGGTATCAGGCTCCCACTCTGGAAGGGATGCCTTTGGTGCCGGCTCAGAAAGTGAGGAACCTGGGAGTAACACTGGATGCCTCTCTTGGAGGCCTAGGTTACCACAGTCGCCAGGTCTGCCTTTTTTCATCGTAGGCAGATTAGGCTGCTGAGACTGTATTTCTCTCCCCAGGATTTAGCTACAGTGACCCATGCAATGGTCACTTCCAGGCTGAATTACTGTGATTTGCTGTACATAGGCTTACCCTTGAGACTGACCCGGAAATTACAGCTGGTACAAAACGCGGCGGCGTGCTTGCTGGCTGTGAAGCCTGTGTAGGCTCATATTTGGCAGGTGCTCTGCCAACTGCATTGGTTACCAGTTGAATTCCAGATTTGCTTCAAGATGTTGGTAATAACCTTTAAAGGTTTACACTGCCTGGAACCAACATATCTGAGGGATTGCCTCTTCCCATATATGCCCTGAAGAGCATTACACTCTATGGATCAACTTCTCCTGGTGGACCCTGGCACAAAGGACGTCCATCTTGCCTTGACCAAGGCCAGGGTTTTTTCTCCCCTGGCCCCTGCCTGGTGGAACATGCTCCCCATTGAGAGCAGGGCCCTGCGGGATCTTCTTCAATTCCACAGGGCTTATAAGATGGAGTTATTCCACCAGACCTCTCCCAACCACTCAATTTCAGACTTTGGGCTGTGACCACCAATTTTAATGTTGTTCTATTGTGTTTTATAATTTTAATTATATTTATTGTATTGCCAACCTGTCCTGAGCCCATTTATGGGATGGGCGGGCTATAAATATGAAAAATAAAATAAATAAAATGAAATAAATAGATGCTTTCCAGAAATGCAGTACAAATTGTCCAATCAGCCTGAATAACGAACTATTATAATTCCAGTGAAAGCAAAAATAAAACAGGTTGTAAATCATACACAGAGTTCTTTTAAACAAAGATGTGTCCTTATATATAAGGATAGATAGAATAAATTGCCCAGAAGTCCAAAAGAGAAAAAGAATTAATGAATGGGTGGAAGGGAAAAAGAAAAAAACAATGTGACAGCAGACCCTCCTTGTCAGCACAGGCACACAACACCTGGGCCACCTTGACTCACATTTCCAGATGAAATCTGATCTGGCCAGACCAGATCTGATAAAGATCACTTGTGAACAGCCTCTGAGGAGGAGTCAGGCAAATCTTATCTCTCAGCAGTGCTTTCAAACGCCCTGAGGGAGTTAAGGTCTCAGAGCCTAACAAAGAAGACTCACTAATGAAAGGCCATTTTGCTGGAGGTCGAAATGTTTGGCAATAATTTTTCTTGATGGTCTTCCAGAGAGGCAATTCCACTATTAATACAGTCTACTGCAATGTTTATTATTCTTATTATTTTCTTTTGCACATAGGGCTCAATTAAAGATCAATTGAAGGCATATGGTGCACTCACGGAAAATGTGACTCGAAAGTATACGCGGCAGATTTTGGAAGGAGTTCACTATTTGCACAGTAACATGATTGTACATAGAGATATTAAAGGTAATGTTGGGAGCTGGTTGGCGGTTTACTTACTCAGCTGCAAATAAGTGATATGAATTATTGAAATGCAAATGATGTCTCCAGTAGATTAGCATTTTTAGAGGTTGTATCAGAAAGGCTATTTCTGCCATAAGAATTGTTGGCAGTATTTCAAGTTTGGAAACAAGAACTGACCTAACAAGGAAACAAAAATAGACTTTTGCTCATATTGCTTTGTCAAAAAGTCTGTGAGAACTATCCCAGTGCTGTGGAAGCATACCACTAAAGCTACATTTAAGTTGGCATGTTGACATGGCTGCTTATAAATATGATTTCTTCCCCTTTGTACTGTCCAGTCTCCTTTGCCAGTGCTAGAAATTTCACCACAAAGGAGTATATTGAAGAAAACTGGGCGGGTAAAAATTGTCCTGTCAACAGTCTGTTAATAAAGGGGGGTTGGGGTTGAATCCAACTGTTCACTTTTGCGGGAGGGCTCTTCCTCTGATGGGGGGGGGGTCTCCCTACTTAGTGCAAGACAGTAATAGGATCCATCCCAGTATTTAGTGTTCATACAGTACTGTTCTAAATGTTAAAAGTGCTTCACATACAATAGCTCCATAATTACATCCTATCACACACACACCCTCCCAATTGCAGATGGTGATCTGAGACTGAACAAACAGTGGCTTGATTCATGCCACAAAATGAATGTGTGACTTGGATGAAATTTGAACTGGGGTGCCCTGGCTCTCAGCTTATGGTCTTGACCATGCTGTGTTATGCCATATTTATAAAGCACCTATTTCCAAAAGTCTTTAGGTAACTGCATCCTAAAGACTTTTGGAAATACATCTGTCTAGGAAAACAAAAACCAGCTGTAGGGTGTACCCCCACCTTTCTCATGGCTTTACTAGGCACGTAATAGGAACTTCACTAATCCCCATTCTCTGTTCATCAACCTGCTACTTTTCGCTTGATCCACTTCTTAAGGTGGATATAAATGTAGTGGCTGGGTGGCTGCTCATGAAGTCTGTAGTGTGCTGTGTGGCCCAGTCCAAAACCTGTTTACAAAATCAGTGGTACTTGCTTCCAAAATTTAAGTAGATTAACATGCAATTTCATTTACTCGAATGGGGCTGTTTACTGACAAATATATAGCAAATTGTATTTTTAAAAATATTCCTCAGGAGCAAATATTCTGCGGGACTCTGCAGGAAATGTTAAGTTGGGTGATTTCGGTGCCAGCAAGCGGCTGCAGACAATTTGTCTGTCTGGCACGGGAATGAAATCTGCCACAGGAACTCCTTACTGGATGAGCCCGGAAGTTATCAGTGGAGAAGGGTATGGGAGAAAAGCAGATATCTGGTATGTTTCCTATTCTTCTGAAAGGCGTTTGCCCAAGACTTTTAACACTAAATGGTATTTCATCAGTTTTAATGTACATTTTATTCTATAGTTGAGTGTTTATGAGCTTGATGTTCCTATCATGTAGTTGAATAAAAAAAGTTACGGAGAGAAGGAAGAAAACACTGGTATGACAGCTAAGAGCTTACCCCCAAAGGACTTTCAGCGAAACAGAAGCCTACAGGGAGATAAGCCGTGTCTAAGCTGCAGATAATGAGTTGGGCAGCAGCACTGGCAGGAAAACACTGGCGGTTGGTCATGATTCAGAGAAGGGCCAGTCCACTCTTAGTCTGCCAGAGCACTCGATTGGTTGTCATGGCAGTGTGGGCTAGGCCAGATATGAGAAGAAACCCCGATGTCCTGTGAGGATAGAAGAGGCATGCTGCCACTTCTGGAGGGTGTTTAAACTCCAGCATCTCAGAGCTGAGGAAGAGGACCTATTCTTATAGCAGAGAGAGAGAGACAGAGAGAAGGTAGCCAGGAGAAGAGGGACCTCCTTGCCTCTCCAGTTGAGGCTCCACTTGAGTAGGGGTGAGAATGGTGGCCTTAAACTAGGTTTTGGAAACCAGGCCTCTCCGGCCCAGGCATGATATTGCTAAGTAGGATCATGTAACTAGTCATATTTGCTCAATTCTGTGCAATGGCTGATACAGAAGTGAGAAGAAAACCCTTGGAGGTCTAATGCATGCTTTGCAGAATTTTTTTTTAAGAGCCACCAGAGCAATCACTATGGTGACATTGCCCTTCTTTGTCATATCCAATTCCAATAACCTTTATTGGCATAACTCTTTGTCATATCATTCCTAAAGAGACACGATCTGATGCTTTAGTGGTGCTTAATGGTCTCTAGTATAAGCAAGGTCTAGTAGCAAGTTATCTAGTTAACAAGTAGTGGTGTAATTCTGAACATTTATTCTGACCTCAGAAGTTTGTTCTATGTGATTTCATGCGAAGGAAGGCCAAATATACAATTTCTGATATGCGCACAAAAATGCTGTATTTTGAGTATCCTTGTCTTCTTCCTCCAGGTACCTAGAAAGGTATTAGTCTACAGTAACTCACTTTCATTTTTGCCTCTTGCAGGAGCGTAGGCTGTACAGTGGTGGAAATGCTCACTGAGAAACCGCCCTGGGCAGAATTTGAAGCCATGGCTGCCATCTTTAAAATTGCCACCCAGCCAACCAATCCCCAGCTGCCACCTCATGTCTCAGACCATGGTCGAGATTTCCTAAAACGTATTTTTACTGAGGCCAAGTTGCGACCATCTGCAGATGAACTGCTAAGACACACATTTGCACATTATCACTGATGGCCTGCCTCAACCCAGCTCTCACCTACTGCGTTTAGTTTCTGACTGCACTGTGGGGGTTTTTGGTTCTTTTGTGCAAAGTTGAGAAAAGACAATGGAGAACTTTTCTCTTGATTGTTTATTTTGTATAGATTGTTAACCATCTCTTTCCTTATTTTAGAATGCAGATTGTTTTCTCCATTTAGATCTAGAATCTTTCTTTCAGCAGTGTACTGATGTGGTTCGCATTAAGCACTTTAGTACATATTCATTCCTGATTTAAGGGGGGGCGGGAATATTTTGGACTGTCAGGAATTGTATAAATTTTTTTTCTAGCCTTGCTGACTAACTTAAAATGCAGAGGAAATACACAAGTTGCTAGCAGATGGAAGAAGAGGAAAATGTGTTTAATTGTTCTTTCTAGTATGTAGGTAGTTGCTGTTAGCGGTTTTGGTTGTGCGTCAGTTTCTAAAACAGTATTTCATCTGTGGAAAGAGACACGTAAAGCTGAAAAAACCTCAGGCTACTGGGCAGGGTGTACTGTGGAAATGACAGCATCTGACTAGCATATCATCTGCACTTCAAGTAAGCATATTATTATTTCTTCTTAAATAGGCAAGAAAGTTCCCCTAGCTGACTAGTTCAAGGGTCATGTAAGAGGGTCATGGGGAATACAGATGGGGAATCTTAGGTACACAGATTACTGTAGATCAGCATTCCTCTAGAATACAAACATTGAAGAACAATGTCTTCATAAATAGGGTACTAACCGGCTATGTGGAATAATCACATCATGAATTGAGAGCTAGTTCACTACAAAGTGCATGCATCACATTCCTCAAATGTTGACTTCCATTTTTTAAAAAGGAGCATGTTTCTAATCTCCATGGAGGAGACAAGCTTTAAAAACCGAAGACTGCTAAGATGTGTGATCAGCGAAGGTCAGGGTGGGGCATCAATAACAAGGTTCAAGGACATTTCACAGATCACTGTATAGACCTGACATACTGTCCTATCTGCCTTGCCCTGTTGTCTAATAATATTTCATAAGATCCAGTCTTCCTTTCTCTCTCCCCTCCGTTACAATTTAGAGTACCTAGACTAGAACGGGTAGCAGTATCTAAAATAAGCTTATCATCGCTGACGACGTTGAACAGGGTTCTGTCAATAAGATGCACATTTGATTTAGTGACGAATAGTATTTGCATAATTTGTGTAATTTGCATCATGGTGAGCATGCAGAATTTGGTTTTTCAGGTTGTAGGGTTCTAGCTTTTGACATGGTGTATACAGAATTTATTTATTTATTTATAATTCATTAAAATGTTTTTATTCCACCTTTTCAACTCGCTGAGTTCTAAAGGTGGTTCACGAATTAAGACACATCACTGTACTATAATTGTAAAATCCACATAAGTGTGAAATAGAAACAGACACCACAAAGAACAAACAGAGAACACCGCCAAAAGTATGAGTGATCAGATAGCTGTCACACTGTGCCTAAACCTAATAGACTTGGTGCCATATGAATGTCTCTGGGAAGGATATCTCTCAGTTGGGGTGCTGCCATGGAAAAGGCCACTTCTCTAGCTGCCGGCCATCAAACCTCAGAAAGCAGGACCCCTGAAAAAAGGTTCTCCGAAGATGATTGCAAAAGAGAGCCAGTTTGGTGTAGTGGTTAAGTGTGCAGACTCTGATCTGGGAGAACCAGGTTTGATTCCCCACTCCTCCACATGCCCATGGCTGGATGACCTTGAGCAAGCCATAATTCTGGCACAGCTGTTCTTGAAAAAAAGCAGTTTCTGTCAGAGTTCTCTCAGCCCCACCTGCCTCACAGGGTGTCTGTTGTGGGGAGGGGAAGGGAAAGGAGTTTGTAAGCCGCTCTGAGACACCTTTGGGTAGTGAAGGGCGGAGTATAAATCCGATCTCTTCTTCTTTTTCTTCTTCTTCAAAAACGAGCAGGTTCATATGAGAACAGGCAGTCTATCAGATTTTTGTTCCTAATTGTCATAAGGCACAGGGAACCTCATTAAAAACAGATCTGGCTACGCCTGTGCATTTCTCTAAGTATTAGTAACAAAGATTCATATTTGAGATTATCACAAGTGAGTGTATCCAACTTCGAGCGTCTGAATATAATGCAGTGCTTCAAAAATGCTTGTGGAATGTTCTAATCCCTTCAGGAAAGCAAGTCCCCTGAATAATTCTATTTAATAGGATCATGTGGCAATAAATCACTAAAGAATCAGAAGTCCTATTTTTTAGAAGTGGTGTAATTCCTATCAAACATTCCCCAGGAAAATCCTTGAGGACAACCTTTACAAGGGCATCGAGGGCTGTACACTGAAGAACAACAGATGTGTACTATACATATCTGGCTGTGTTTTTATTAATTTAAAATATTTTGTTCTTTAAGCAAAATACTGAACAGCAATGAAATCTGGAACAATATAAAGTAAGTGTCTGAGAGAGAGACTTGGGGCCAAGTGCAAACATTGTTCTCAATCTCTTAAACTCAAGAGATCAGGCACTTCAAACTCAATGATAACCAGATTAATGCTAAGCATGGCTGCATGTACAGAGGTAGACCTGTTAGTCTGTTGAGCAAAATAAAACAAAAGTCCAGCTGCATCCTAAAGACTGATGACATTTATTCCAGCATAAGGTTTTGTGAGTCAGAGCTCACTTCTTCAAATGCAGCGCAAGCAGGGTTAAGGTCACTGTTGATGGTTAAAAGTCAGAAGGGGAATTTGTGTTGGTCAGAGTCTTTGTCTGATCCTTTGACCATGGCTAAGGGATGAGAATTATTGCATCTGCACCAGCCTACATAGTAAGAGCATGGAATTTTGAAGCATCAGAATTTGGTTGAACAGAAGGCAGCCGTGCAATAGGTCACACAAAGGACTTTTGTAATATTTTCAAATTTTGCTAAACCCCCATCAAGCTCTAACTATGCAAATTGTGTAGAACATGCAAATTAAGTATATATGCAAATATGCATAATTTGATAGATGGGGGGGGGGTAGGTTGACCTAAGAAGCCTAGCATTCCAGCTATACCAAGCAATGTATATGTGTTTGGCATTGTTGGAATCAGACGTCCTCATTCTGTTCTTCTGTCAGTGTTTTAAAAACTAGCAGGCGGACAATCAATTCAGCCTCTCGGTGACCTCAGTAACGTGTTGCTACATCAAGGTTGATTGAACAGAAGTAAGTCTTGCTCTTGCAACGTGATTTGAGGAGCATGTTTGTTCCGTCCCTTCTCTCTAGATGATAGTTACTTTAAAATTCTATTTTGTTGTGTCAATGCTGTGTTATGAATGACTTTTCATATAGTAAGTCAGACAGTAGTAGCTGACAGAAGTCTCTTGCTTATTGACTCAGTGTGCAAACTTTTGAAATGTTAGCCTGGTTGAGATGCATAGTATAAATGGGTGTTGGAACAATCATTCAGTGGCTGTCTGACATGGGTCTTTAGCTATGTAAATAACTGTATGTGTAGGTGCTTTCTTTTGTGATCTGATCTCAAGTAAGTTGGATGGGTTTTCATTCCGTCACCTGTTGCCTTGTGAAGCTTGAGATGCATGAAAGCTAGGAGTGGGTGGGAAGTAAACCAACCAGATGGGACTAAAACACGCAACTTGATGTTGGATTGCAAGGTGCAAGGCAGAAAAATGGCTTTTTCCAAACTTAGAGGTTGGCATTTAGGAATCTGGATCTGCCTTAACTTGTTCACCTTTATTTGGTTAACAATCACCAATGCCAGGGCTGCTGTTTCAGCATTTGGGGCAGAGGGAAGATTTCAGTTAGATATGACCGTTGTCTTCCTCCCTCCCACTCTTGTTCATGGTAGGCAGCAGTGTGATCTTGATACGGGAGAGGAGTAAAGAGTTCATCTCAAGAAATCCTTCCAGTAGGGGCTTAAAGCACATTGATGCCTCTCTTACTAGACAAAAGCCTAAGATGCCACTTAGTTGTAACACCTGATAGGACAGAGAACTTTACATTTGAAAAATTAGAAGGGACCTTTTAAAATGTTAATGTTGCTTAACACTGCAGGTAGGATTGTGCTGATTAATATGTAAGGATGTAAAAAGCTGATCAATCAGGGTGTTAATAGCCATCTGATATAACTAGAAACATAGAGCAAGTGGAACAAAACATCACTGAATGAACTGGTCATTAAAATATGCAAATATTCAGAATATGGCATAAAGAGCTATAGCTGTTTGAAGCTAAAGAAGACACAAATAGAGAGTTTTTTAAAGCCAGGATTTTTGCCTTTCTGGGTGTGTGTAGTTTTTTAGGACAAAACAAGCAAACACGTGGAGCAGGCGATACAAATATAGGTTCCTGCCTTTCCAGGGTTCTGTGCAACCTCAGTGGTACTAGACATGAAAAATGCCTTACGATTTTGGTTTACTTGCTGCATATTTTCCATTCACTATTTACTTTCTACCCAATAGGCTGCTTATTTAGGCCTGTTCATAACTGAATTAATAGACTGTGATCCAGAACATGCAAACCACATCTACATTTTTTTTTTGCTCTGCCTACTTAAGCATAAACATGTAACTTAACAGCTTGTGTAATCTTAACAAGGTTGCTTCTGTTACCAAAAAGTAGAAAAATTGACTTCCGACAGAATGTAAGTGCAGACGATGTATTTTAAATTTGTACTGACTTGCTAAAAGGAGCTATTTGAATTTGTGGCAGCATTCAGATTCTCTAAGCATTCACATTGCCGTGTACAGCTTTCTCTTCTAAATGCATTGCCACTTTCTTACAGTGACCGGAGACAGAAAAAAATGCTAACAGAATAAGGTGACTGTTTTTTGTGCCTTCAAGAAAGTACTGCATTTTGTCTTGACAATGGCAATTTAAGGTGCTGCAGAAAGAAAATATTGCTGATAGCGATTTCCCAAACTCAGCTACAGCCTCTAATGTCATTCAGATGGCATTTTCATAGTTGGAAACCCACACTGCTTTCCAGTTGCAATCCAGGTAGCTTTGTGATAGGGTAAGCTCGTTAAT